ATTATGTATTAATTAGCTTTGATTTAAACATACCTATTTATGCAGTTAATATATATCTTTCATTTTCGCTCTTTTTCTATAAAAATAAAAACAACAAAAACCAGTGTATCATGTGAGTATTAAACTAAACTTAAGTTAACTAATAAGGATAAAATAGAAATTTAAAGACTTACTAATTTTTGAAAAGAGAAATGCCTTAATTATATTAAACAGACTATAACCGTGCAAATAAAATAGGATAACTTGTTTGAGCAGTTGTTACATATTTAATTCATGTTTATCAAAGGTGCCTTTAATTTGATTTATTTCAAATATTTTTAATTATAAATTCATAATGCTCAGCTTAGATCATTGTATATTGTTATATATAATCATACCTCAACAATCTTAAGAAGAAATTTATAATAGGAAAATTATATGGATAAGCAGACATATACTATTATAGTTAACTACTTTATAATTTTAGCAATCAAACATTCAGCGATAATTATGCGGACAAGGGTTTTGAGTCTGTGTAATTCGAATATTTGTATAATTCAGAATGTGTATAATATAATATGTCCAACTTATGTATAATTGAATATTGTATAATATAATCGTATACATGTTTAAAATTTAGATGTTTGTGTTTGTATAAATTTATTATTTTGAGTTTAAACAAAAATAGTTTAATAATACAAATGTACCTGCGAATTATACAAACAAGACAACTTAAATTATAGCTACAACCATATATTTTAAGAAAACACATGTTACTAGAGGTTTAAATACTATTCTCATTGTTACATTACCAATAGGTATATTAATCCCTATAAAGATTTCTAACTTATGATTTATTTTTGTTATTTAACTATAAAATAAATGCTTATAAATATTTTAATGTTGTAAAGAAAGCTCAGAATATAAGAAGAAAAAGACAAGAAGTATAAGATAGAGGAGATAATTTTCTTATTCGAGTATGTATTACAAAAGGTGAATGATATCTCTATTTATAGAGTTGAGATATCACCCCAAAGGCCCCCATGATAAATGTCCAATTAGTAGGTACATAGTTATCCAAATGATTCTTATCACCTTGGGAACATGTATACATGAATACAATTAAGTCTTGAGTAAATCTAAAGGACAATCCACACAATTCAATGGATTTATAACACTCCCCCTTGGATGTCCATAGATTATGTGCCTCGTTAAAACCTTACTAGGAAAAACCCAGTGGGAAAAAGCCTAGAGAAGGAAAAAGAGTACACATATCTCATAATACGCTTTGAATGTTGCCTCATTAAAAACCTTACCAGGAAAACCCAACTTGGGACAAAACCATAGTTAAGGAAAAGAGTACAACGCGTATTTCGCTCCCCCTGATGAAAACTTTACTTGATATCTCGGAGACGGCGCATTCCAATCTTGTATCTCAACTTCTCAAATGTTGATGTTGGCAATGCCTTAGTGAATAAATCAGCAAGATTATCACTTGAACGAATTTGTTGAACTTCTATCTCACCATTTTGTTGAAGATCATGCGTGAAAAAGAACTTTGGTGAGATATGCTTTGTCTGGTCTCCTTTGATGTATCCTCCTTTCAATTGAGCTATACATGCAGCATTATCTTCATACATTGTGGTTGGTATATTCTTTTTCAAAGAAAAACCACACATTTTTCTGAATATGATGGGTCATTGATCTCAACCAGACGCACTCTCGACTTGCTTCATGGATGGCTATTATTTCTGCATGATTTGAAGAAGTGGCTACCAATGTTTGCTTCATTGATCGCCAAGATATTGCCGTGTCTCCACATGTAAACAAATAGCCTGTTTGTGATCGAGCTTTATGCTGATCTGATAAATACCCTGCATCTGCGTAACCAATCAATTCTGATTTGGATTCATTGGAATAGAATAAACCCATGTCCATGGTCCCTCGAAGATATCGAAGTATGTGTTTAACACCATTCCAATGTCTTTTTGTTGGGGAGGAACTGAATCTTGCCAGTAGACTTACTGCAAAACAGATATCTGGTCGAGTATTGTTAGCAAGGTACATTAGTGCCCCGATTGCACTAAGATAAGGAGTTTCATCACCAAGAAGCTCTTCATCATTCTCTTGAGGTCGAAATGGATCTGTATTGATGTCAAGCGATCTTACCACCATTGGAGTACTCAATGGATGTGAGTTATCCATGTAAAAACGCTTTAGTATCTTTTCTGTGTACGTTGATTGATGAACACGTATTCCATTTGACAAATTCTCAATCTGTAGACCAAGATAAAATTTTGTCTTTTCAGACACTCAACAGCTTCTAAAAGCTCTTTACGAGTTCCAATGATGTTCAAATCATCAACATACACAGCTATTATTACAAATTCAGACCCCAACCATTTACTGAAAATGCAGGGACAAATCGGGTCATTTTTGTACCCTTTCTTTAACAAATATTCACTCAAACGATTGTACCACATCCTTCCTGATTATTTCAGTCCATACAGAGATTTCTGAAGCTTTATTGAACAAGTTTCTCTTGAATCTTTGTATGTTTCAGGCACTTTAAATGCTTCAGGAATTTTCATGAAAATGTTGTGGTCCAATGAGCCATATAGATAGGCTGTGACAACGTCCATTAGACGCATTTCAAGTTTTTCATGAACTGCCAGATTTATGAGATATCTAAAGGTGATTGCATCTACCACTGGAGAATATGTCTCCATATAATCAATGCCAGGTCTTTGAGAAAAACCTTGAGCAACGAGTCGGGCCTTATATCTCATGACTTCACCTTTCTCATTTCTTTTTTCGTACAAAAACCCATTTGTACCCCACTGGCTTGATACCTTCAGGTGTTCGGATTATTGGTCCAAAAACTTCACGTTTTTCTAGTGAAGCCAATTCAGCTTGAATTGCATCCTTCCATTTTGGCCAATCATTTCTCTGTCTACATTCGTGAACAGATTTTGGCTCAAAAACTTCATCTTGTTGCATTATTTCAATAGCAACATTATAGGCAAATATGTTGTCAATCACAATATTATTTCGGTTCCACAACTTTCTCGTCGAGACATAATTCATTGAAATTTCATTATTTTCAGAAGTTCGAACCTCCTCATCATCATGTGTTATGACTTGGGTCTCATCTTGAGAAATTTCTTTCAACCCATGATCATCTTGATCATTTATTCCTTTTCTCTTTCGAGGATTTTTATCCTTGGAACCAATTGGTCTACCACGCTTCAAATGTGGTCTAGACTCATTTGCCTTAACAATTTGTCCCGTCGGGATATCAACTCGAACTGGAGCATTAACAGCTGGAATATGCGATTTAGTAATCCTTGGAAGATTCGTAAATGCATGTGGTAGCTGATTTGCAATGTTTTGCAAATAAATTATTCTTTGAACTTCTTGCTCACATTGGTTTGTTCGAGGATCCAGATGAGATAGAGATGATGAATTCCAATCTATCTCTTTTCCCAATGACTTATGTTCTCCCCCTAATGTTGGATATACTGATTCATCAAAATGACAATCAGCAAATCTTGCCTTAAATAAATCTCCAGTCATAGGCTCCAAATATTTTATGATTGAAGGAGATTCATACCCAACATATATCCCCAACCTTCCAACCTTCTTTGCTGCCCCATCTTTGTGCGTTGTGGTGGAGCAATTGGGACATACACCGCACATCCAAAAACTCTAAGATGGGAAATGTTTGGCTCTTGACCAAAAGTCAATTGTAATGGGGAGAATTCATGATAATTGGTTGGCCTTATGCGCACAAGTGTTGCTGCATGCAAAATAGCATGCCCCCACATAGACACGGATAACTTTGTTCTCATTAGTAATGGTCTAGCTATCAATTGCAGACGTTTAATCAATGATTTTGCTAGACCGTTTTGAGTGTGAACATGCGCAACTGGATGTTCAACAGTTATACCAGTAGACATACAATAATCATTAAATGCCTGAGATGTAAACTCACCAGCATTATCTAGACGGATTGTCTTTATTGTATAGTCTGGAAATTGTGCTTTCAATATTATTATTTGAGCCAGCAATCTCGCAAAAGCCATGTTGCGAGTTGATAATAGACACACATGTGACCATCTTGTAGAAGCATCTATCAAGACCATATAATATTTAAAGGGTCCACATGCAGGTTGAATTGGTCCACGTATATCACCCTATATACGTTCCAGAAACGCAGGGAATTCAATTCCAACCTTAACTGTTGATGGTTTAATGATCAACTTTCCTTGAGAACAAGCAGCACAAGAGAATTCCTTTGATTGAAGGATATTTGGGCTCTTTAAGGTGTGTCCATGTGAATTCTCAATGATTTTGCGCATCATATTAAATCCAGGATGGCCCAACCGGTCATGCCAAATGATAAAATCATTAAAATTAGTAAACCTTTTGTTTACTATGGCATGTGATTCAACTATACTTATACTTGTATAGTACAACCCAGAAGAAAATGCAGGTAATTTTTCATGCACAATTTTCTTCTCAACATTAATTGTAGTAATGTAAAGGTATTCAACCTTTCCTTCATTAGCCGTCTCAACATGATAGCCATTTTGGCGAATAACTTTGAAACTTAATAAGTTTCTTTGAGACTTACTACAATATAATGCATTATCAATGCTTAATATTGTCCCTCCAGGTAGTAATAAGGTCGCTCTTCCAGAGCCCTCAATTAATTTTGTACTACCTGATATTGTGTTGACATATGCCATTTTCATAACCAAATTAGAAAAGTATTTCTTTTCTTTTAATATTGTATGCGTTGTAGCATTATCAAGAAGGCATACATCTCCATTACTCATCTTGAATCCAACTGTCAACTGGGGATTTCTATTAATTTTCATTAAAATAAAAAACATCAAAAGAAGGAAGAAACAAAACTAACAACGGAAATATAAATACTTCAACATGAATAACATAATAATTAAAAATACATAAGTAATATATTAACAGACTTCATTCCCCAGCTAAAAGATCAAACATCAGTTTCGTTCTCCAAAGAAGTCATCAACTTCCATATGAGTAATGTCACCAAGGCCATCAAAAACATCATCCTTTAAAGCCAAATTTGCTTCAATATCCTTATCATATTTTTGAGATGTTCCCGGCTTATCATCATCTTTAAGAGTCATATGTGACTCAGCTCGAGCATTGGAAGAGGAAGCACCACTTTTATTTCCTTTCTTTTTAAAGGAATTTTGATAGAGCCTTACAAAATGTTCATGTGTGTGACATTCATTCTTCCAATGGCCTTTCATGCCACAACGACGACAATTACTTTTTGAGGGGTTATTTTGAGAACTCATGTTGTTCTCCCTTTTATTATGACCACCACCTTGACGATTAGTGTATCATCTTTTATTTTTGTCACGTCCCCGTGCATTATTATAGCCCCGATGATCATCTCTTTTTACTTCAGATTGATCACGTGCTTCCACTACATTTGCCTCCGATAATGGAGCAGCTCCAGTGGGACGAGCTTCATGATTTTTCATTAAAAGAGCATTATGTTGCTCAGCCACCAAAAGACATGAAATTAGTTCAGAATATTTCTGAAAACCCTTTTCATGATATTGTTGCTGCAATATCACATTTGAGGCATGGAAAGTAGTAAGTGTCTTTTCCAACATGTCCTCATCTTTTATAGTCTCCCCACATAATTTTAACTGGGAGGTTATCCTGAATACAGCAGAGTTGTATTCAATTACGGTCTTAAAATCTTGAAACCGTAAATGCATCCACTCATAACGAGCTCTTGGCAACACTGTTGCCTTTAGGTGGTCATATCTCCCCTTTAAATCAGTCCACAATTCAAGTGGATCTTTCACCGTCAGATATTCAATCTTCAGGCCCTCATCAAGATGATGACGAAGGAAAATCATAGCTTTCGCCTTATCTTGACTCGATGCTTCATTTCCCTGAGTAATAGTGGCATCAAGACCTTTAGCAGCCAAGTGAATCTCAGCATCGAGTACCCATGAAAGATAATTCTTTCCAGAAATATCTAATGCCACAAACTCAAGTTTGGATAAATTCGACATAATGAAATTATGAGAGAATATGTGAATCAAATAAAAATATTTATATATAATACCTTTGCAAGTAGCAACTTCGTGCTGATAACGTGTTGTAAAGAAAGCTCAGAATATAAGAAGAAAAAGACAAGAAGTATAAGATAGAGGAGATAATTTTCTTATTCGAGTATGTATTACAAAAGGTGAATGATATCTCTATTTATAGAGTTGAGATATCACCCCAAAGGCCCCCATGATAAATGTCCAATTAGTAGGTACATAGTTATCCAAATGATTCTTATCACCTTGGGAACATGTATACATGAATACAATTAAGTCTTGAGTAAATCTAAAGGACAATCCACACAATTCAATGGATTTATAACATTTAACATTATTTTAGTTTTAAAATAATAAAAATAAATCAATACAAACAGACACTTAATTAATCGCTTAAAAGTTATACGTACTCAAAAGTTATGTTCAAATGAGTTGAAAGTTATGTTCAAATAAGTTGAGATTATAAATGAACGAGTCCATATCCCATCACACGAATTAAGAAAGGAGGCTTTAGCTTATACCTAGCTGTGCTCATCTGATCTCTTCTCATCAAAAAAAGAGAGTAATCAAACGCAACGTATCCCCACACAGCCCAACTTCATTCATTGATAAAACAAGAATTTTGAAGTTGAAGATATAAAAAATCTGAAGCTCTCGATCTGAATCCATGACAATTTATTTGAAACAAAGATTTGGCTATTTTTTTCATAACAGATGGCTGGTGTTCGTTGCTGCAATGTGGATTCAAACTTGTGCGGGACTTGGATACTTATTCGGCAGTATTTCTCCAGTAATTAAAATCTCTCTGAATTACAATCAGAAACAGATTGCTCGATTGGGCGTGGCTAAAGATTTGGGTGATAGTGTTGGATTTTTAGCTGCTACTTTGTGTGAAATTTTGCCTTTATGGGCTGCACTTCTTGTGGGTGCTATTCAGAATTTTATTGGATATGGTTGGCTTTGGCTTATTGTGACTCGAAGAACTGAACCTTTGCCATTATGGGCTGTGAGTAAACCACCCTTCTTCATTCATCTTCATTTCAAAAGTTTCTAATCGAAAAATATTTTTCAGAAAATGTTTTATTTAATTTTTTTTTCTTCATAACTTGAAATATAGAAAATGATCTTTCTTTTAGTTGAAGCTTAAAATAAGTTATACAAGTGATTCAATCGACTGTGTTCTTGTCAACTTATAATACATCTCATCTTCATTTTTTTTTCTTTACTTATACTATCAAACACAAAAAATAAATAAGAAACGTATATATTATTAATTCTTTTCTTTTTTTTGCTTATGAATTGAATATAAAAATTTCTAAAAATATTTTTCTTTCGTAGTGAACGCAACTCTATCTTTATGAGTTTTCTTTGAAACGAGGCTCTTGCTGTCCACTCATTTTTGCTATAGTTGGACGTTGAAAAGTTCCCATTTTTTTATATGATATGCATTAAATTAATTGAATTGTCACCAAAAAAATTTTATTTTTACTTTGTCAAACACAAAAACTAATTTTTAAAAAGTTTTTTTGTGGCATTCTTGCCATCTCAAAATGCGTCGAGCTCAAGTGGCTACAAAGTCGAATTTCATGTTTCTGTCTGGGGCATATCCAAAGTTTTAGCTACAAAGTGTATTGAAAAATTCACTAATATTTTATAAATATTTAAGTGGGAACTCAACTTAATTTGAAATTATTATAAGAATTCATAAATTTCAAATTTTGAATTTACTTTTATTCTGCTTTTCTTTTTTTCTAGTCTTGACATTTCTATTTTAAAGAAGAATTTGTAAAAACTAAGTTGGAATACTATATATATATATATACCCCGTAAATCGTAATAGTAAATGTTAGACAAGCATTTGTGCCTTAAAAATAAAGGTAACAAGTGTACTTTCCTATTATCGAATGGAGACACAAGTGCTTCTGTCCAAGTTGATACCTTACATGTTACCAAAGGGCTATTTAAATTGCATCTGTGTCTCCGAATTTTAGGAAAATATGTATGTGTATATATATACATAATACATAAATATCTGGTAGATTATGATTGAAATTTCAGAGACACACTTTAACTAAATTAATGTTTTATTATCCAAAACTTTTTTTTTTTTTTGTAATTTTATACATTTTCCATGCGGCTCAACTGTGCTTGATTGGAATTGAGGCATAGTACCAAAGTTTACACTTGAACTCAGTCCCTATTTTGCTGATTATCATAATGAATTATGTCTTATCCATGACATCAATTGGGCATAACTTATTAGTGTCTACTAGAGTGCAAAATTGTCACAAATTCCTTGTTTTCTCTAACAGCTGAAGTTTAACCATTTCTCTGCAGATGTGTATTCTTATATTTATAGGAACAAATGGTGAAACCTACTTCAACACAGCAGCTTTAGTCTCTTGTGTACAAAATTTCCCGAAAAGTCGCGGTCCTGTGGTTGGGATTCTTAAGGGATTTGCTGGCTTAGGTGGTGCTATCATAACTCAGATATATGCAGTAATTCATTCCCCGGATCACGCTTCACTTATATTTGTGATTGCGGTTGGACCAGCAATGGTGATTATAGCTCTCATGTTTATAATCAGGCCTGTTGGAGGCCATAGACAAGTCAGGCCTTCTGATGGTTTAAGTTTTTCGTTTGTTTACAGTATATGCCTCATTTTAGCTTCTTACTTATTGGGAGTTATGATTGTTGAAGACTTAGTCGATGTTAGCCAAAATGCTATTATTATCCTCACATCTATTCTATTTGTCATCTTGATTATCCCTATTGTGATCCCTATCTATTTGAGTTTCACTCAAGAGCCAAGAGTAGTACCAGAAGAAGAGGCACTTGTATCTCGGTCAGGTGATCAAGGTCCTGGCAGATCAGAACACTACGATGGTCAAGAAATTATATTTAGTGAGGTTGAAGAAGAGAAACCAAAGGGAGTAGACTTGCTTCCTGCTTTAGAAAGGCAGAAAAGGATCGCGCAGTTACAAGTGAGACTAGCACAAGCAGCTGCAGAAGGAGCTGTGAGGGTGAAAAGGAGACGAGGTCCTCGTAGGGGAGAGGACTTTACTTTAGTCCAGGCTTTAATAAAAGCAGATTTCTGGCTTATGTTTTTCTCACTGCTTTTCGGTTCTGGATCTGGTTTGACTGTCATTGATAACTTGGGACAGATGAGCCAATCTTTAGGATATGAAAACACACATGTATTTGTTTCCATGATCAGCATATGGAACTTCCTTGGCCGAATTGGGGGTGGATACTTTTCTGAGATAATCGTCAGGTATGAACCTTATCTTTACATGAAAATTCAAATCTCATAAATCTCTTCACACGACCTTTGTCAAACAGGGATAATGCATATCCAAGGCATGCAGCTATGGCGGTTGCTCAAGTTGTGATGGCCTTTGGTCATTTTTTCTTTGCTATGGGTTGGCCTGGAGCTATGTATATTGGTACTCTTTTGGTTGGACTTGGTTATGGAGCTCATTGGGCGATTGTGCCAGCTGCTGCTTCAGAATTGTTTGGATTAAAGAATTTTGGGGCTTTGTACAATTTCCTCACTATTGCCAACCCAGCTGGTTCATTAGTATTTTCAGGTCTTATTGCCAGTAGTATATATGACAGGGAAGCTGAAAAGCAAGCTCATCAGTCTCAGATAGGACTAGGGAGCTTGAATTTGGCATCGGTTTTGACAAGTTTCTTAAACATTGATGAACCTCTCAAGTGTGAAGGTACCATTTGCTTCTTCTTGACTTCCTTGATAATGTCAGGAATCTGCATTATTGCAGCTGTTCTAAGCATGATTCTGGTGTACCGCACAAAAACTGTGTACGCTAATCTGTATGGAAGATCTCCTACATAATGTATCCTCGACGACGGATGGAAATATATGCATCCTGAAAAAGGACATCTTCTGTCAATTCATTGCGACACTGGAAACCATCTCCAGAATATTTCCAGGTGAGAGCAAACGTCGAAGAAGACAACAGCCTAGTTTTGCTGTTGCAAAAGCATTCCTTTGGTTGAGTAAAATAATATTTGTATGCAAGTCTTTCCGTATATTTCTAATTTCTCAATCTAAGTTGTTGAATTTTGATTGTCAACCACCACAAGTAACAGTATTGATTGAGTTTTTGCTAATTGGCAAATCCTTTTCCTGTCAGAGAGAATTGGTCCAGTGACATCTTGTCCCCTATTTTGTAAAAGTTGAGGCTGGCCGCTCAGTTATTTTAGAATAAGTTCTTGATAGCAGCAGCTACAAAGATGACATCTAACTATACACAATAATGAAGAAAACAACGTAGATTTAAGACAAAGCTTAACACCATGAAAAATATCCCGAGATTAAAAGAAAAAGTCTTATTTGATCTATCACAACAGAAAAAAAGTCTTATTTAATCTATTACAACAGAAAAAAAGTCTTCAAAGTTTTCACCAGAAAGTTATAAAGTTTCAGTAACTAGCTAAATGACAGGCATTAATGCCTAGGGTCCTGTTTATGCAAAAGGAAAAACTCTAATAGAGTATCTTCACCAGTAAAGCTAAGCTGTATTATGGGTTTCACTGTGGATGCGGTGGTGGTGGTGGAGGCATATTAGATTTTGCAAATCCCACCCATGCAACAATGCCAACGGCAAGTATGACCCACCCAAAAATGTCATACTTGAGATCACTGCTCTTCTTCTTTTTTGAACTCTGCAATGCAACAGCAGACATAATGGTGAATCAGCAACAATATTGATAGATTAAAAATGAATCAGATTTTCACAGAGATTCAGTACCAGTCTTAAGAGGACTTTAACTTTCAATTTTCCAGGGAGGAGGGAGGATAAAGTAATTGTAACATTTAAAGGCGTACAAAATCAAAGAGCAACAATTAGACTTTGTGAGGAAGGCATCACGACTTTTCTGAACAACAATTTAAATAGAAAAAAAAATAATAAAGACACATCAATTAGTAAGAATTATACTG